TAATCCAAAGAGATCGAGGTAGTATATCATAACCAGATACTATTTACTGTTTGGTTACAACAGAGGGTGGTAGTACCAGGTAAAGGTGAAGGTCAAACTCAATGTGCCTCATTGTGTACTGACTGGGATCCGCCTATCTACGTGATGACAGCCTCACTGATATATGTCATGGGACAATAACCAAGTCTTAACTTAGCTACTGTCCTTGACAAAAAATAATCTTGAATATGACATGATGTCAAAAATGGTAATTTATTCAGCTTGCATTATGTCAGTTAACAATGAGAACAAGTAGAAATCAACCAAGTGTTTCAAGAAAGAAAGCTGCTACTTGGTCCGCTTGTTGTTGCTTGTGTGGCTGTGTTGTACATGATTTCTCAAAATTATATACATTTTTGGATACATTTTGAGTTTTTTTAGGTCCAGCTTGGCACTGAATAGTCTATGCAATAATGTCAGGAAGAATTGTTTTTGCAGAATACTGTCTAATGTACATATGTTATATGCTGCACATAATATTATCAAGAAGCCATCAATTTTCATGGGGGGATGAAGATGGGAGGTTTGTACAGCTGCTGCTGAAGCAATTATTTTACATTACACTGTATACATGGTACAGGTTAATAAAGAGTGAGTGAGTGAGTTGGTGGGTGTGTGGTATGAGTGAGTGAGTGAGTGAGTGAGTGAGTGAGTGGGTGGGTGAGAGTGTGTGAGTGAGTGGGCGAGCAGGCGGTTGAGTGGGTGAGTGACTGGATCAAATGTAGCTTTAAACAGTATTTCATCTCACAACACATTGCATCAGTGACACATGTACCAGACTTTAATCATTTGGTGAAATCCATGGACAAACATATGATGCTGGGAACCTGAGAAACACAACCAGTGTAAACCTGGATTTGAACCCCAGACCACAGGTCTCTGTACAGTGGATCATGACACCTTAAATGACTGGACAACTATACAGAACAAACCCAATTTATTTGAACTCCAAATTCATAGGACATCAAAAATTGATTCCCTCTCTTTGAGTATTACGGCAACACACCCAGTACCACTCAGTTGCAAACTATGTAAACAATAGCTCAACCTTCTGAGTTGACATTTCAATATCTAACAGTGTCATCATACCGATAATAATCTTACACATTTACACTATTAGATAGTGGGAATTGTGCCGACAGTCACGCAAACATTGCTCTTCGCGTGGAAGACCGGATCAAATCGTCACGTAACAGCACAGATAACACATACGTTACGTGCATTATCTTACAAGACCAAGGTGTGTTATATTCCCTCATATGACCTATATCACCATGATAACACACACACATCACATTTCTAGAGTACAAAAGCACACCTCCTTCAGTATGACAGTAATTTCCTGCCTCCTGCAAAGAAGCCTGACATTAAGAGTGTTCTGATGAGTTTCCTATAAAAATGACTCCAAAATACTATCATAAAAGTGTGCTAGTCTTAATTTAAACTTTACAGCTGAAGGCAAAATGAAGATACAAAACCTCTTTCTGTAAATAAAAAATATATGCTTCTCAGAATAGAAAAAACAACAACAAACATCTGCAAAACTCTTTTTCCAGTGAGATTTACCCTGCACTCTTCATGATAACTAGGAAGCTGAGTGACCTTGGCAAGTTGTTTCATAAAATACAAAGCCGATGAAAAAACTGTATCTAACAATTTACCAAGTAAGATTAAACTATTTAGTAAATGACGAACCTTGATCAATCACTGCTCTGTCTGGCATTGAGTTTGTTAATTATAAACTGCATCATACAGCTTGAATATTACCAGCAACAAACAAAGGAGTGATTCCACTGGCACTGGCTGAGTATACAAATGTGAAATCTGCACAGTAGCGCTGTGTGGAACTTGAAAATTGTGAAAACTGCCAACAACAAATGACTGACCCCACTGGCAGTGTTGCTGAGTATACAAATGGGAAACTGCACAGTAGAGCTGTGTGGAGCTTGGAAACTGTGCCATCCTGATTGTATATCATGAGGCAATGAATGTAGGTGCCTCAACATCAAGGACACCCATTATAATGGTTATTTCTGGAAGAGACCTTGTCGTAGAAATTGTCTTGAAATCTATAGCCTTTTATACAAACTACAGTCTGAACTTAATGAAGGTCATACTTATATAATCTTGGCATGCTTCTTTAGATGATATCATTCGCCTGATGAAGGTAAAAATGTCATGAAACATTGATACAAAACAATAAAAGCATCATGTGTTCTTGTTCTTCCATCTTTTGAATGTAAAATGAAGAATGACTGGACATATAACTTAAAACAGGGACCATATACTGACATATTATGGTCTCTGGTTGAAAGTATCATATAAAGATGTTATGTTTTGAGGTTCAAGATCCATAAAATTTCTGCTATACATTTTCTAATCTGTGGAAGGTCTAAATCTGGAATTTTTAAGCTTAATTTCAAACACTGAATATCCTGTACAGTGCTTGCTCCTGATCAATGTTTGGCTTCGAGTCTACAACAGTCATCAGTAAATTTGTCCAAGTGGGAACTGAACATTTCCTATTTCATGTCAACATACTGTCAATAACAGACAGTGTTATAGGTGTCGAGGTGAATTGTACTCTACTATCAAGACCAAACACGACGAACATGACGAAAAGTGACTAAGAGGCTAAATCCTACATGATTGTACTGAATGCAGTGGTAAAGTACTTTTGAATGCATCAATCTAAAAAAGACCGCCTCTGCGGTGTAGTGGTTAGAGCGTCCGCCCGGAGAACGGAAGGTCGCGGGTTCGATCCCCGACCGCGTCATACCAAAAGACATTAAAATATGGTACTTGTTGGTCCCTGCCTGGCGCTCGGCATTAATGGGTACAACAAGGACTGGTCGGCTCGGAGTCAGTATAATGTGTCTGAGTGGGGTATTCATGCTTCACTGCGGCATGGTATCTCAGTGGGCTAGCACTATAAAACCAGCTTCAGTCTTGGCTAGTACAAGCAGCCGCACACATACACACGCATGCACGTCGTCATATGAGCGAAATATTCTCAAGCACGACGTAAAACCCAATTTCACCTCACCTCACCTCAATTTAAAAAAACACAATTTAGGACAAAGTAACAAAGTTTAACTAGGAATTGGCCTGCCATGGATATTTAGTTTGGAGTCCTGTATAAAACCCTGGATCCCATTTTACAGTGATGGATGTGCTTCAACTCGAGGGAGGAAATAACTTGAAAATTGCTTGTGTACTCCGGTACAGTGGCACATGTAAAATCATTTGCCCTGATAATTTTTCCACTATACCGACCGATTTTTTTAAAATAAACAACATAATTAACATTGGAATGTCAACTGGACACCAGTACAGCGTGATATACAAATGTGCTTGCCCGACAGAAAAAAACACTGGACTCGGACGTCGGGCAATGGGTTATTTCCACCCCTGCAACTGTTATAAGTCTATGTTAAACCACAAGAGTTATGACAGTCGTAACATTACAATCATTTGAGAACCGGGGCCCCTGTCATCAGACCATGGTAAACAAGAATGTTTTGCCTTGATATGCATGCATCATCAAAAACATTATGGCTGACATAAAATTATTTTAGTTGCCAAGCAAATTAAACCACAACATATTTGATGGTGAGTGAGAAACATTAAACATCATTTTGACATGTTTTCTAACAAAAGAAAATATTAAACAAGATAATGTTGTTAGGCTTGCTGATTATTTGGTTCTGCCTTGCTGCAGCTGCAAGCTTGTTTACACGGGGTATTTCAGGCAGCATGTGTTTCCACATCACAAGAGTGCATGTGTGGCATGATAAGATAAACACAAATATACATACAGATACTCAGCTTCATTATATACTCATTAAAACACTAACTGTGCTCATAGTACAAATATTTAGATACCAAGGATGGCTTTCAAGATAGCTCACATTGGGAACCCTTGGGAGCTAAGGTTTGTTGCTATGGTAATTTAATCCTGGGAATCTGGATCCATCTTTTCTAATATTAGGGTCATGATGGAAATGACCTGTCAAGGCCATTCTGATGTCATCAAAATCAAGATAATCTTTTAAGATAAAAAACAGGTCAATGATAAGAACAGAGTATTATATGTGCACCTAAAACCTGTATTTTGAAATCAAAACAAATTAAACTACAGGTGTTTCCAAATACCTGCAAAAACAAGCTATCTTCTCTATTTCCTAAAAGTCATAATATACCACCCTGTCCTTTGATAGACATAGCAATGGCACTAGATGTGGAAGTATTTGTAAAAATGCATGCAAATGCAACTTTCATGAAACTGACAAATATATTGAACCGATTTAAACAATAACTGGACACTGGCCATGACCTTCCCAATGCAGTGACCTTCTGAGTGAGACTTCTTCTATTCTGTGACATTGACCTTTGATGTTTTTATTACATGTGCCAAAAGGGTTCCCATGTCCATGTGTAGTAAGACCATTGTAGGATATCCTCTATGAACAAATATATGCAGTTGATATTGTAGGTGTTCTGTCAAAAACATGCGTAAATATACAGTTCCATGCCTGTGGTGATAACAATACCAAACTGTTGATGATATAGACATCTTTTATAAAAAGCTGAATGTGGACCTTCACCTTTAACTAATCAAAACTAAAATCTTTTCAAGGCCTGATCCTTGGGAAGTTTAATGATGACTGCATTTATGTTTTAGAAACTTTAGCCACAATGTTTATGTTTGCTTATCTCATGACCTTGACCCTTGACCTTTTCATGACCTGTCCAAAAGAATTTCCCCAGGGCTATATTGAAAAATAAAAGCCCAAGGAAGAGTAATCTCTTTATGTAAAACCCTTTGTGTTATATAGTAGACACCACTGAACCAACATCTCAGTATCATGCACGTCTAGACTTGGGGTTTCAGGCTGCAGTCAAGTCTCTCCACAAGTGAGTTAGTGTCGTCTGGACGTAAAGTTGCTTTTTACAATTACCTGAATACAATGACTGGTCAGACCGAAGTGTAGACTTTCCATCTTTGGCATAGAATCCCTCTGTTACGATCTTCATGACTATGGAATACCTCACACAGCCGGAAAACACCTCCATTATGAACGTTCTGTCCCCTTCTTCTGTTACCTAGCAACCAATTACATATTGAATGAAGCATGCCATCAAACACACACATGAAAAACATTTTACAAATTAAGATTATTTTCCTTCATTGCTTTGATATTACAGTGATGAATAACTGACATTAACAGACCTTTTTGGCCGTGAAAACAAAAACTTAAAAAATTATATTGAATATTATCAGATTTGTTCCTATGAATAAGAATGAGACTCTTTTCAATGTTTTAATGTTGTGGAATAAATGGAAAGATGAAGCTACAAAGGCATCAAAAAGGCTGATTTTAGACATTTGCAGGAAGAGTTTTTTGTGTGTACATGAACACCTGAAATTAAGCAAGTCTTTGACACAAGCTGATTTTGTAAGGACTTAGGTTAAGACAGCACAATATCACACATGTACATTTCCAAAAATTACAAAAATCAGCGATTGGCCCTTTGGAAAATAACATATTATCTTCTCCTATTTTATCATAATGTGGGTATGGTCTGATACACTATATTCATACATGGTCGCTATGACATGATGAGGGGAGATCTCCACAAACAAGACATGAGGGAAGCAGACACTCAGTATCTGTTGTGACTTCCATGAGAACTGATCACAGTTTGGCGGCATCGATCCACAGAAGCGTTCAAGCAGAATGTTCCCCCATTCTACTTGAAGTGCCAAAAGCAAGCACTGAAGTGTGTGAAGAGGGAGATTCCCCCTGACTAGCTTAGCATTGATGTGATGATAATTTGGGGGAGGGGGCTAGATCAGGTGATAATGCTGGGTATGGTAAAGTTTGGACATTCTTGTTGCCATGTGTTGAGACAATCCACCATCAGCCTTTATGAAGCAAACAGAATTGAATTGAAGGTTGCATAACTTGTGAGTGCATAATGGCCACCAGAGTAGTACTACTGGCAGGTTGGATACCAACCTACACCTTAACATTTCCTCTATCAAACTGTTTACCTACTGCACACAGTTCGAGACAGCACTTATTATGTCTGTAGATGAAAGTCTATCACGTTTTACTTTTAGGAGAAATGTGATCCATAAAAATTAGCATTACGAATTTCACTGTTAACGCTTTAATTGTTATACTGCTACCTAGTGTCATGAGTTTATAAGGAATTTTGCAGATAACATAACCAATATTTAAAAAAGGATGATTAACATGATCAAAAACTTCATTATGAATGATTTCATTTAAAGCAGTGTTAACATACATAACATATAAATTAACGTCAAATCTATAGGAAAAAGAACAACATTCCAATTTTGATTCTTATTTATAACATCTTTTTCCTCAGTTTTCCCAAGGGCACACAGAAGTAAATCTCACATAAATCTGTGATGATAACTACATTTGATGTGTGAAAATCTCAAGTTGGTTGCAATTAATGTTATGATAGTAGATAAATGGATCCAAATGATCTTTCATGAAAGACAAAAACTGTTACGTTGAACTGTTGAAATACTAACAGATGACAAGCTGACACAATATATCAGCAAGATAACCAAGTTATATTGATGCAACTGTAACGTACCTGATGTTGCTTCAGATAAGCATTGATTTGTTCCTCTAATGATGTCATCTCCTTGTCGTAAGTGTCAAGGACACGGACACAGTGCCCTAACAGCTGGCCGTGGTTCATTGTGTATGGTTTGATGGTCAGGGCAGCTGAACGGAATCTTTTACGCAGCTGTTCAGGAATAAGACAGGAGACAAGTTCATCATAAAATATAAGAAATGTTAAGAAGGCCAAGACTGTGGACGGTAAGAATCTTAATATTATTACAAGCCTCTACATCTATTTCAGTGATGATACTCAGCGTGATACAGAATACAGATACGTCTTGATAAAGTGTTTGCAATCAATTGTGGATAAAATGCTCCCGACCAACTATTTTTCTTAAGAATTAAGTAATACAAACAATTAAAATATCTAGCAGACATATTTGTCATGGTATCATATCATAAGTGCCATAATTCATGCCCTTTATAACTGTGCTAAAGAAACTATGTGATTCGGTTTGCTTTAGTGGAACATTGAAGAAGTACCTGCACATCATATTATCACTGATTATAGCTTCCTTTCTTGAAAGTTGCTATCAATGATTATAGCTTCCTTTCTTGAACGTTGCATGTTGAGAATTCAATATTTTTGTGAAGATGATTTGAAGTATAGTCATATCAAATCTAAATACATGACATGTCAATATATTATTTTTGCAATACCATAAGATTTATATAGAAAGTCTTTAAACAGCCTGCATCATATCATATGTAAAACCAAATAGAATATTCTATTCATAAATAATTATATTCACTATTTCACTTTTTGAGATCTATCGCTTTTTTTCACTTTGTGCCTTATGGTGGTACACAATGTCATGATGTTATTCCCTTTGTGATTATCACTAATGATAACTTTCCCCAATTACTGCAGTCTACCTAGTTCATATGAATTAACTCGTATTCCAGCCAAGCACACCTTGGTATAGTGCAAAGTCGTCTAGTTATATGCTGGACTACAGTCTACCCATTTCAAATTATCATAATATGGTGGGGCCATGAGTATTTTGTGATAAATAAATAACATACCAAATTACCTTTAATTAATTATTTGCATTAGGTGATTGGGTGAGCGATTGTTGCTTTAGAATTTTGCAATTATTCGCAGTTACTTTGGATGAGGCAGATCTTTCGTCGGGTAACCAAAATTGTCTTCTTTAGAAAGTATTAGTATCTTATCATTTGGGAATTTCATCAGATATAAACGTCTAAAACAAATACGTACGCTCGATCTGATCTAAAGCGAAACCAAAGATTCGTAAAAGAATGTTCCTCTTCATTCAAAAGTAACACGACTTCTATCGCGAAAATAGGAGACATAAACAGGTAGCTATTGCTACGGCAACCGTAAACAAATTAATTCATGGGTCGTTGTAGGGGAATGTGACTTGAATGACGATAGAAATTTAAACATTAATGTCTAAGAGCATCATTAAAGATTACCTGGTCTAAACAACAACACAGTAAACCAGCATTAATCCCGGCGAATCAAACACTTTGTCGAATGTTTACCTTCCCGATCAATCTGTCGCCATCTTCTCTTGGTGCATTATGGGAGTAAACGAAAGAAACGATTTTTCTTGTTTTCCTTGAAGCAATTAATTCATGAAAATATGTTATATTTGCATTACTACCCATTTATAACAACTTATTTCAACATCTATATTCACCAAAGAACTCTTAACAAGTATAAACAAATTACCGGGAAATAACGAGGTCACCGGAATTTAATATAGACGGTTTCCCTACGACTTTCATAGCATGTTAACTAGTCGTATAAAGTTATAAAACATAAACGATGGAATGTGAGTTGAAGAAGCCATAACTGCACTCAAGAATTTCGGTTTTTCGCTGTATTTACTACTCTCAGTGACTTAGCACATTTCATCGTCCTCATGGCGTACGTTATTGCAGATAGGAAGTTGAAAAACATCTAGGTTTGTATGTTATGAGAACCTCTCGTCTAAGTGCGGTCGTCCGTGAGAAATACATTACAGCTGACGCTAACAAAGATTGACAAAACAAATTACAATTGTTTGGTTCTACTGAAAGAGTCTAACACACACTGGTGTACTATTTCTTAATAAGTTCTTTCAACCAGCACTGACGTATGCAAAGTTTCAGGGTAAATCTTGGAATTATTACAAATTTATCATCAACTGTTTCCTAGTTGCAAATTACGCACCTTATATATCTGAAAATATGGTATAAAGACATATATAGTATCTATTAACAAACAGCTTCAATTGATTTGGAGAAAATACCCATTGATTCCAATCATTTCTTTTTAATATGTCCAAAGTATGTCAGCTGCCGGTTTGATTTGATACAAAGCTTTGAAATCCTAAAAGTTAATTCAGATATTCACACCATTCTGTAAGTCAGCCTTAGTCTGCCACAAACTATAAATGAAAATATTTTTAGTCAAGTCCATTAATTCATTGTACTTAGTAAGCGTTTCAATTAATGTGCAACATGTCCTGCCTCTGTTTATTGTCCATTACATGTATTTTGTCCATGTTTACAATTGTCAGGAGCGGGCTTTAAGAAGTTGAACAACTTGTGCCCAATCCCTTTCAATACTGAATAAAATATGTTCAAACAACCCAATGAACTGAACCTGTGGATAATATAGACATGGTTTATTTAAGCCTATATCATTACAGTAAAGGGAATAAGAACAGGAACTATTTGAATGGCATTTAGAGTGAGTGAGTGAGATTAGTTTTACCCTGCTTTTAGCAATATTCCAGCAATATCACGGCGGGAGAGACCAGCAAAGGCCTTTACACGTTATACCCATGTGAGTAATCGAACCCGGGTCTTCGGCGTGACGAGCGAACGCTTTAACCACTAGGCTATCCAAAAGGTCGCGTACCGATCAGTCGAATTTCTGATTTCAGAGTAGTAAAATGCATTCGACGGATGAGCACTGTGATCTTAACTATTAATTAGTTATCAAAACATTGGATCATACCAAAAAAAAGACGCTAGGGATGTTGGGTGGTTTGACTCTCTTTATTGTTCTACTTTTGAACTTATCTTTGCCTACTCATATGATACAATGAGAAATTGATGCATTAAATATATATTTTGACTTTCTTTATTTTTGTACTTTTGTACAAAATTGAAATTGATGCATTAAATAAAATGCATTCATACGGAGAAATATATACAAGGATATTATATCTATATCTGCATTCAATAAAATGAAACATTATTTCACTGACCCAATTTTCATCCCAACGCCCCTTAATGGCACTTAAAAGTGAATCACCAGTCAGTGCTAATTACCCCTTTGCTCTCCTTTTGTCCTTACCAATCAGTACACATTTACACCTGCAGTGAGTGAGTGAGTGAGTGAGTGAGTATGGTTTTACTCCTCTTTTAGCAATATCACGGCGGGGACAGCAGAAATGGGCATCACACACTGTAACCATCTGGGGAATCGAACCCGGGTCTTCAGGGTGACGAGCATACACTGTAACCATTAGGCTACCCCACCTACTTACTCCTGGCTTCCATTTGTAATTCAGTATTTCTCTATCAATACTACGGGGGCGATGGTATAGCCTAGTGGTTAAGGCGTTCGCTCTACACGCCGAAGACCCGGGTTCGATTCCCCACATGGATACAACGTGTCCCCCGCCGTGATACTGCTGGAGTATTGTTAAAGCGGCGTAAAAGTAAACTCACCCACTCACTATCAGTACTACGAGGGTGTGAGGAACGAATGCCTCTTTCAGCAACACTGCCATCATTTGACAATGAAGGCACCCCAAATCTTCATTTTTATTTTATAGTCTGTAGTCGCAACAGCTATATACCGGTCTGTCGTATAACATAAGCACTTAGATGCATTCTCTAACCGACTGAATAAAGATTGTTATAATAAAACCCCAGGGACGAAACAGAATGTGAAATCTACTTGGTGGAATTAATTTGTAAGTAGATGTTAGTCATTAAACCTGTGGAGACATTCCCACAAGTGTCCTAAGGGCCTTTGTGGAATACCGTTCCTGGATAGAACCTACGTATTCTAAATCGATAATATTATTTTGTCCAGCTTCTGATTTCCTCATCTCTAATGGCAACAGATATGTAAGAGAAATACTGCCGGGCGAACGAAAGTGTACACCCATGTTTGACGGTGGCCAAAAATAATGTAACTAAGAAATGGTTATTGACGGGGGTTTCAAATGCCATATGTGAGTAGGTCATGCACAAAGTATGAGTGAGTGAGTGAGTGAGTGAGATTAGATTTAACGCCGCTTTTAGCAATATTTTGGCAATAGTGTTATTCCTGCAATATCATGGCGGGGGACAACAGATTTTGGCGCCACACATGTACTCATGCTGGGAACTCGAACCCGTTGGTGACCAGATTGAAGTTGGATTACATTCTCAATAGTGAATTTGATAACCATGGCCACCTCTTTCATCCATGACGTCTGCCGCCTGATGACGCCATGCAGATAAGGGAAATCCGTTGTCTCTCGTACCTGACCAGCTGGTCCCCGTTATGTGGTGGATGAGGAAGCGATCTGGCGGTCGAGATGATCTCACAAGTGTTTAATTGGGATTAAATCTGGTGAGTGATCTGGTCATGGAAGAATGGCGACGTTGTGCGCACCCAAGACACGGAGACACGGTTGTACACAGTGACACAATTTAACTGATGCGGCGTCATAACCTACTGTTGTCGTTGACGATGCGACGAACCGTGGAGTCGTCACGGGTGGACACTCACTGGACAGGCTGTTCTTGCGGTTACAGGCCGGGAGAGCCACATTTCAGAAACAGATAGCCTAAATTGATGTGGCTCTCGCGGCAATAGTTATGGTTGCGTGAACATGGAATGTGGCTCTCCCGGCTATGCTGTCAAAACATGCTTAGTGATTCAAACGCGTTACCGTATTTAACAAAACAAGACATGTCTCCTCATAATATTAATTCAGATCACAACAGGTTTTGTTTCTATAATTAGCACAATATAATATACTAATAGGTATATTACATATAGTAATAATATCACAAAATAAGATTTTAAAAACTCACCTTCACTCGACAAATACTTAGTGCTGAAAAATATTTGGAAACCTATTCTATATTTTAAAACATCTAACCATAAATTGCCAGTAGAAAGTGGGAGATGGAAGAATCTCGCATGAAAAGAAAGAGTATGTAACCTCTGTAACTCACAGTTAGCTGGGGATGAATTCCATTATATCTTTAGATGTTCATATTTTAGCCAACAACGCATCTCTCACCAAGAAGATAACTCTTGTTCCTTTCCTAATCTCTCTACATATAAAAAAATGATGTCAAGTACTAAAATTTCAACAATCAAACACCTATCTAAATTTATCAAATGTATACGTTCTAGTTTTCAGTAATCATTGCGTATATTCCCTGTCACCTTCTTGCATACTTTGTATATTCTGCATTCCATTTTATGTACTCGTGTACTACCGGATGTGGTTCTATTTTGAGTAATAAACTCTGAAAACAATATTATACAATGTGATTTAGAATCATAAATAGGGATAGTCTTCTACCGGTATTGCTAAACACCACGCTTGTGAGTATAGGAAAGATTATTCGTTTATTATATTATACATGGGGACACTCTTTTACCGGTTACGGTAATTCATTAATTAATCAATCTATTGGAAATGTGGCTTTACCGGCTACAGCAGTGGCGGATCCAAGAAGGGTGGGGTGGGGGTGGGGAGACGGGGTTTGGGTTCAGGGGGTTCGAACCGCCCCTTTTGAAAATGACTTAAGACCGCATTGAAATTTTATTTTTTGCGTTGGCGGAGCCAAGGGGGGTTCAGGGTTTTTTAACCCCCTGAAACCCCCCACCCCCTTTCAAAATTCCCGGATCCGCCCATGGGCTACAGCCATGTAATTGAAATGTGGCCTTCCCAGCAATAGTCATTTTTGAAATGTGGCTTTACCGGCCTGTCACCGTTCTTGCCCTGGCCCGTGTATTGCCAATCTGTCTGTAATGGTCAACAGGTAGGAGGATGGTTGTAACATATGTCATATTTGGGATTAAATTTTCTTAATAAAGTACAGATTCTTGTACTGTTGTTGGGCTGAGTCGCATCCGGGATTCGAACCCACGCCCTCAGAATCAGGCACCTAATCGCCAGCACACAAGGTTAGCCGCCTAACTGGGCTAACTCGCTCAGCCACCGCGACTTCCACAAAAATGGAAGTAGGACAACTGGTTGTCTAGACTGCGGACTTTGTGTACCCCTCTGATAACGATGGTTGGTTGAACAAGTACAACAGAATTTTTTTTTTGCAATCTGCAGATATGGTTTGCACTCATTCTTAAGGCCCTGTCAGTTTGTTGTGCAATTAGATGAAGCATATCTTTGGTAACTTTGTGGTCAGCAGTAATGTTATCGCAAAGATCCAAAGTAACTTATACCCTCACTCACCCGTGAAGGTCCGGGTTAGAATTGAGTAACCCATTCAGTAACCCATACTTGTAAGAGGCGACTAACGGGATCGGGTAGTCAGGCTCACTGACTTGGTTGACACATGTCATCGTATCCCAATATTGCGGTGATCGATGCTCTTGCTGTTGATCACTGGATTGTTCGGTCCAGACTCGATTATTTATAGACTATAACGTAACATATGTTATAGTTGGGATTACACTTTCTTAGTAAAGTACAAATTCTAGTACTTTTTAGGTTGAGTCCCATCCGGGATTTACAGACTAGCTGGAATATTGCTGAGTGCGGCGTAAAACTAAAGTCACACCTATGTAAAAGAATGAAAGTATCATGCTGTTTCAGAGGACCCTTAAATGAAGTTTGGTTGATGGGTCCGTTATTATAATATAACTTGGACATTTCCGAATAAAGTATCAAAACTCACTCATTTCTTGGACATTCGTAGAAGTTATTGGATAATATTCAATATCACATGTATTTGTCTGCCAATGCAAAGCCCAAAACACCTTATGCATAGCATACAAAATTTGGTCAGTGTGCGTAAAGTGTGATGGAGCGTATTTGAAAAAAAATATTCATTTGTTTGTCTTGTTTTAAACTAATATCGTTGCATGTTTTAACATGACCCTTATGAAACAAATTGCTGTAGCTTAGCCCAATATACCCATTCATAATATTCGTACGTGTTGAAGTGCACGCCAATGTTGGAAGAGCGCTTAATTCAGTTGTGATAGTTGTAAAATAACTCTTTCACATAATATTCTGTTGAATACGAAATTCTCCATCCAATGTATATATATGTTGATAAACTTAATCACTGTAAACTGCAAATTACTTTGTGTGTGACGAAATAATAAACTATTGGTTCCAACAGAGTACGTCGGAACAATGGCGATCCAACGATAACTAGTTGTGGGGAAAATAGAATGTTCCATTGACCTCGCGTTCAACTGCTCGGGAGAACCCAAACAAGAGAGACCTTGGTTGTAAACGCGCACTGAGGCATTCATAGCAGACGTTCGTCGGATATTTCAATACTTTGTAATTTAGCGAACATTTCAAAATGCAATTAGAAGTGAGTGGTCTTTTTGTCAGAAAAATGAAATTGTTATACATATTTTCTGTGAAAAATCTTAAGAAGAAATCTAGCAAATTACGAAATTCCATCGATTCCGGAGCTTGGAAATTTGGTAAATAGCGGACTAAGAAGAATGTTTAAGTGCACTCACATATATTTCTGTTTTCAGGCAAGAGAAATCTCAGCTCCAAGAGTTGGAAGGTTTAAGATTTACATTCAGGTAAGGATATATATTATTTCATCCAGAAAGTCATTTGTTAATATGCTGCTACTCTGATAGCTGAACATCGACATGCAGTTTTAGTTCTTCAAGAACACATTCCAAGTTTATGAGAAAAACAGAGGTTGGGGGCAACGAACATGGATCTATGCACCACATTTGTACGCGTATGCACCTGGTGTCATTGTTTTGATTCATTCTCAACATTGCTTATTGATTAATCAATTGTACTTTCGCGACGCAGCTGTTTGCTTTCGTTGTTTCAACCAGATCGCACAGTTCTGCGACGAGACTGGTGCTAAATTAGCGTCAAAACAAATATTCATGGGCGTTTTCAAAGAAAAACCTCTCCAACGTATTTGTTGGAGAACTTTAATATCAACTAACTGTAAATAGGCCGACATGTATGTATGTTTGAAAACACGTTAAAGGAGCACTGCGCAATGTTTCTGCAAATTAATTTGAAGAATATTAAACCTACAACAGTTTGAGACGATTGCCTGTCTGGCTTTACTAAGGAAAATGAACAGGGAAGAAAGAAAAAAAGTAGGAAAAATATTTCTATGAGGAAAGTACTGTGAAGAATGAAAATGAGAAAGCTGTTGTTGCAATATGCAAATGTAATATGCAACATGGAAATGATGAGCTGTATCAAAACTAACCAGTTTTGCATTTTGTACCTGAAAAAGAAAAAACATTTGCAGTGCAGACTTATGTAATTGCCTCCCTTTTCAGTCTGTGTTTCTTACCAACCACCATTTACATACTCAGCCCAACAATATCTCACTGCTGGTTTTGTTGTCATGCTAATGCGAGAGTAGCAAGGGCAACAAGTTTCTGGCGGGAAGTGTTTTGCCTAGTGGTTGCGTTGGGCTGTTTACTATCACATGCCCTCGTTTTAGCGTGCACAAAGGGAAACAGGTGTTTGTTCTCAAACAGTTGACTTGACACCACTCAAATGAAAGGACATTTGTAAAATTGTAGTTAAAGGAATGAAATAATATGTTGCTGAGACGGGAACAATGGTCTTCTGTTTTTCAACACTGTTTTGTTATAGTGAAGACAAGCTGACCTTCATTGAGAAACACTATCTATGATCTAATATATATATATATATTTTTTTTCAAGATGGAAACCCTTTCTAGGAAAGATAGACCTATGGTATATTTCAAAATTATCAATTAGACTAATAGATGAAACTTTTGTTTGTTTTGGTTTCATTGTTGACCAGTTTCATTATTTGTTTTACAGTTCCTGGTCACTTTTGAGTAATTTAAAAATAATTAAATAAAAAACAGCAACATGTTTTGTAGTGTTTTGTTTCAAATGAACAGTTACAATGATATTTTTAGTTGTTTATTCTGTCTTGCACTCTGCAGTACTAAGCGTTTAGTGCAGGATTATATGGTCAAAGGATGTCATTTTGGAATTGCAAAAATAAAAACAATCATGTTTTTAATAGGTAATAATGGTAATAAATTATTTCAGAAACATATTTACTGTTTTTAGTAAGTTCTGGTAATAAATTCTAACATTTTGATAAGTGTTCAGAATCAGTTGAATTATTATGATTATTGATGTATATATTTCCTTTATGGACCTTTATGAGGCTGTGCATGAGGCATTTGCCATGAACATGTTTCAGTCAAGCCAGTTTTACTTTGGGCTGGTAAAATTATGTTATACTAGCTATATAGGCGAGTGAGTGAGTGAGTGAGTGGGTTTAACACTGCTGTCAACAGTATTCCAATTATATTATGGCAATGGGAGGAGGGAAGCCTGAAGTAATGCAGTTATCAGACTTTTGCCATCTTTAGTGAAACCCTCAACCATGGGTATGGTGCTGACTATCTTTTTTGTAGGGAGCTGAATAGTACTGGCTGGAAGCATTACATAGTAAACAACTGATCACACAAACATCTGTTCAACATCACAGCCACTGAAGAAACCCATATATTCAATAATTGAGACTAATGTTTTTGAAGTTCCACAATATAATTATGTTATGGAACATAGACATGAAATATCATGTCTATTTACCTGATTACAACGAATTAAAAATAAGAAAAATATGTGAAACATATTTCAATCAATCATGTACTTTGCTTTCAAACTGAAATTGAAAACTACTTTTTATAATCAATACCTTTCAGTGCTTAATGGCTTGGTGTGTCATATTATTTGGGGAAATAGAAAGCATGCATTCAGAAAGGATGGCAACAGTTGAAGTAAAAACAATAACACCACATCAGTAAGATCAGGCATAATAGAATTTTGATTGCTGATTAAGTGAAGTACATACGCTACCTTTCATTCTAATAAATTGGTTATTGAAGCATGTAATTGCTAAATGCATTAAGGAGTCCTTGTGTTTCTTTGCTTTAAATATCTCTGCAATTAAACTTTCACCAAATAAGTTTTAATAGTCTTGTTTTGAGTTCAGTTTCTCGAATAATACTCGCATAATTCAGCATAGTTGGTTGCCGAATCTGACACAGCTATAAAGACATGCACTTGTATGAAAGATGATGCTTATGATGCTGTCCTTGACCCAAACTTTAACATTTTAAAAATATAATAAACATGCCTGTTAAAGGCCAGGCATTTCTCTGTGATAAATGGGTCATTTGCAAGCTCGCTGTGCATTAAACATGGCAGACTAGCTTTGCTAGTGTACCTCACTGATAGTTTGAAAATACACATGATGTGTTCCTGTCATAATTTATCAAATGTTTATGAAGAGAAATTTGATTGCTAAATTCATTCATCCATATTATTTGATCATAAGATCACTTTTGTTTATCCAGGAAATGTGACAAGATAAAGGACAATATTCAGAAGTAAATTTGCCCACCCTTGACTCAGTCAATGTAACCTTTATTTGTAATGATAATCAGTAAAAGATAATTTAATTAGTAAAAAATAACAAAAATATATTGTTTGAGTGCCACATATGTGTCGTAACCCCATTAAAACATTGGTGTAGTTTAGTTAGCTCTTAAGATTTTTAAAATATTTTTATTTATGTTATTTGTCAATGTGGATGGTGAATGATGGATTCTTGATGCGTTTATTTCATTTATGCCCTCATGGGCAATAATGGAAGGTATTGAATGAGATTATTGATACAGATTACAGATAATGGGTTCTAGGAGACTGCCATGTCAGAATTCTCCAATGTCAATGGCATCTTATCATAAGAGGATTATGCATGATTTATCTATTCATGATAATGTCCGATAATGGCAAGACAGTGGGAACTGTTAATGCAAGCTGTACCTCTGCAAGGGAGCAACATAATGCTTGTTGGTTTCGATCATGTATTTATATTTGGAAGTACAGTTATCGTAATGTTATTTGTTATTAAGTTATTTGTTAGAAGACACTCATTTAGTAATTGATGTAGGATATCATCTTACTTCGTTATATGGATGTATCAATCTGTGTTTAATGTAGATACTTTGTTGATACAAATGTAAGTACATATATATTCATATTGTATTGATACATATATATGAATGTTGATACAGTATGAATACAAATTCATGAATGCTACACTAGTTATGCACTGCCACAGAAAGATATACAGTCATCCCTCACCATAATGCGGGTCTTACTGTCCATGGATATTAAAACCCAAAGTGTTGCTTTTGCCTTGCTAAGTTGGTAATATCAAAAACTAAACCAGGGCATTTTTTATGTCAGAGTTAATTAACCTCCAATAATGCATCTTGACTTCCTATATTAAGTATGTCAAGGTCTGTTGGTAGTTAAAGTACACACAGGGGAAACAGTGTATACTGATGATAGCTAGAAACTGCCTGTCACCATTGTATTCAGCCCAAACTGATGGCATGTATGCATGTATGCCAGTATATTAATTATCCAACTCTGGCTTGTCCAACTTGTCGGCTACATTTTGGTTTAAACAATCAAAGTCATACAGACTGGTATTCCCCTGATCTATTTTCTTGTCAGTTAAACCAATCATTGTGATATAACAATGTGTACACTTTGCTTTGATTATGATACTGCCTTTGTCCTTTGAAAACGTAAGTTGATTTGTAGCTCTCTTAAACCAAAGCATCTGTTAGTTTATGTAAACAAATGCAGTGTTAAAAATTAAGGGGCTCCTGGGGTGCTTGAATGTTTTTCCTAGAGTATTTGAGTCCTTAAATATTGACCACTAGGGAAATGAAAGGCCCCCTTGACTTTTGTGGTGTATTCTATACACTTGACTTTCAGTCTGAGGTATCCAAAGTATGTGATACATTACAGCAGTACTTATTCAGGATAGGATCACAGATTGTCCCATGGTTACACAAACCTGATATGTTGTAGGCAGGTTGTTATTTTGAAGAATATGGTATTTTCAGCTTGCTATTTACGTTTAGATCAGTCATGTATTCGTCTGACCTCTATCTTTTGGTATGGTTTGACAGGATGCACAGTGAAGGATGCAGGATACAGAGTTGACTGTATCCAGTAAAACTCTTAATTATTTTCTCCACTATTATGTTCTTGTGATTCTCTCTTGACTGGAGGCTGCTATTGAAAGGTCACAGTGTGGTCCTCGATAGCATTACACTGAAGATATTTGGTGTAGTTATGACCTTGTAATGGATGTAAGTCAGGGTGAAAAGGGGCCAGTTTGGTTGAAATTCTATCTGGAAGACAATAAAGTCTGTCAAGGATTGAGTTACATTGGCCCATTTTGTCAACTCTCATTTATCATCTTTTCATTTATGCGTACTTAATGTCCTTTATACTACAACATTTATATTTACTTAAGTATCTTGTTTAGAGATGTGAATGTATCCGGCTGTCAGGTAGCTGTCACACACTTTGTGAGTTAGGGTTCAGGAGTGCTTCTCTGAAACATTCATTAGAGCCATACATTTTGTTAGAAGCCATCCAAACTCAGTGACCCAGGTTCTCAAAATGTGATGACATCATAATCTTACATGGAATAACGGTTCATATTGCCATTACCATTATAT